CCCAGGAAGTTCCATCTGAACCTGAGGAAAAACTTCTTGACTGTGAGGGTGACAGAGCACTGGAGCAGGTTGCCCAGAGAGGTAGTGGAGTCTCCTTCGCTGGAGATATTCAAAACCCGCCTGGATGTGATCCTGGGCAATATGCTCTAGAGGACCCTGCTTGAGCAGGGGGGTTGGACTAGATGATCTCCAGAGGTCCCTTCCAACCTAAACGATTCTGTGATTCTGTGATCAGCTTACCTGTCTAGATAGTCCAGGGCAGCCTCCTGTCTGCTATGCATAATATCCCCTAACTACAGCATTATAGGTGTGCTGCCATGGGACAATGCTGTGAATAAGTTTGGGGTAAGTATTCCTACCCACGATTCAAATTCAGCACATAATTTACACAGTCTTCACCTTCAGTTTTGAAAAGAACAAATACTTAATACTTAGGGTCAAAGCAGTAAAAGAAAACGTCCCGTATCAGGAGAAGGAATCCACTGTCAAGGCTAAGTGAAATGGACTGCAACGGAGCCTGGCAGTCCCTGAAGGCCTGCACCCCTTAAATACACTTAATACATGTGAGCAATGACTTACTGACTTGCCTGTAGGTATGGAATTAAAAGCCAAGGAAGAAGAGGAAAAAGTAATCTAGATAAATGACTTTATTCCCTGAGGTGACATCTAGTCAGAGCATATCCTTAGTCCTGTGCAAGTTTTAACAGAATTGTGAATAGTGAACAGAGGGATACATGACTTATATGTTGCTAAACTACATGCCTCTTAGCTTATGCTCAGCCTCTCCTAGGAAGATCTAAGAACAGTTCACTCAGCTGCACTAAATCCATTTGATGTGAAAAGAGAGTGTGTGTGGAGGGGGGAGGGCCTCAGAAGGGCGCTGAAATGTCAGCCATGGAGGATTAGAGCTGCATGCTACACCCTCTCATTTTTAGCATGCACCTACTGTCGAGCATAACCTTGATGGCTGGCTTGCAGGCATAGATGATGGGTGCGGGGGAGGGGTAAGAGCTACATATTTCTACCCTCTGCAATTATTTTCTTTAAAGTGCTGAAAGTGGAAAATAAAGAGAAGAGCAGCTGAACAGCCTGACAGATTTATCTTCTTCAGGGAAACATATACCTGCACAGGCACCTTTTTCTTAAAAAAAAAAAAAAAATCCTAAATGATCACTATCTGCAATCTCAACATGCTGTGCGCAGAGCAGAAATGTCATGAAAGGTAAATTAATCCAATCCCTCTAGTTGCCAGATGCTCTTCTCTGAAGAGTAGCTCTAAGCAGCCTATAGGCACTGTCGTTTTTAAAGAGCTCTCCACAGACCTGGTGATTTCTTTGCTCAGAAAATGTCTTCTTTTTTCAGTTAAACCTATTCAAAGACTCCCACCACACAGTCAAAGAAAGAGTCTGCAGACAAGTGGGAGCCTCTGAGACTGTTCTATTTACCCCAGTCCTTCCTGGACCAGAGATGTTCTTACTTGTAATGACATTTCTATCAGCATCAGCAGCTTCTTGATACCAATCCAGACGGCCTTCCCTTTGACATTCTGCGCAATGGTGCTGCGGTTGTTTGGGAGGTACCCAGGGGGGGGGGGGGGGGGACAAGATAAGGAGACTGTCAGTAGGAGAAACGCTACCTAACCCAGGGCAAAGGGAATGAGAAGCTAGCTCATTCTCTAGCTTAGAAAGATAGCTGTTTTATTGCAGTATACCCAGACGAGGCAAAATATTTAGAGATTCTTTTATTGCGTAATGTTTCTTTTCATAGTATTAGTTGCTGATTCAATCTTATGACCCATTCTAGCTTTTCTCCAGATTAAATCCTAGAAGGAACATAGTGGCTTATGCCACAATACCTTTTCAAACCTGTTGCAAAAGTTTCAAAATCTTTCATGCTTTAGTGATTTTATCATTGTGACAATTCTGCAAGGTTGTACAAAAGTTCTGCCTGTTAAGTTTATTTTAATGGCTTTTAATACATGCTACAAATTCCACTGTGGCATAGAGTAAGAAGCCATTTGGAGCATCAATTTATAAAGAACCTATAATCTCTCCAGTACTGAGCACTTTCATTTGATGCTGTTCCAGCTAATGAGAGCTCAGCATCCTCCAGGCACATTTCAGTTTAAGTGCCCCAATTATACATTTCTACCCACTTCCATGCTCTCTGAACATTTCAATCCACTCCATGAACTTTTTCCCTAGATCTATGGTTCTCTTCTTTCATTTATGATATGACAAAGTAATTCAGAGAAGCCTCATAATTGCTGTTAGGTCATGGTTAAGTGGGATGGTGTTCCAAAATGCAGATCTACTGCAAAATCATTCATTTCCAGCAAATTTTGATCTTTTTTGTCATTCACTAACTTTTTCTCACCTCCAACGCCTCCATCAGCTGCTCTCCTGTTGCAATATTGGGCACATGAATAGTAGTGCTGAAGGCATTCAGCATTTCCATTTCCTGCAGTACATCTTTGCGACTGGTAGTTCCAATGATTAGAAGCTTGCGACCCTGCCCACACAACAGAAAAAGTGTCAAGGAAGGAGAAACAAAAGGAGAGGAACCACACTTGGGAAGCTCCAGCTAACTGGAGAGAAAATGACCACTTAAAAATACCACTTGATATAAAATTAATAAGACTTCACCTCAATATTTGACATAGACAACATCAACCGTATGAGACTAGCACAAGATTGCAGAAGTCAGACTAATGGCATCAAAAGGGCCAAAAATTATGGTACACAAGAGACCCGCCTGCACTCACAGCTTTCCTATCTTACCTTTTTTAATAAATTCACCATTATAAATAGCTAAAATGCCATTAGATTTAAAAGCATGAACCAACCCCCACTCCAAAAACTTAATTACAGACGATTTCTCAGAGTAGCACTCTCTTTTTAGAAATCCTGTGGGTATACTGACACTTTCTGCCACTGTACACACAACTCCAATAGTTTTATAGCTCACGCTACAAGAACAGAGGTTGTCCTAAGTTCATAAGATTTACCATTGCCACTGTGGTTTTCCAAAAGGCCAGTAACAAGCATGGCAGCCTCCGAGTTCAAACCAACAGTGCACACCCCAATTCCAAGTTGGCCTGTGCAATAACAGGTTTATAAATAACAGAGATAAGGAGCAAAAAATGGAAAATATCAACTGCCAATGAAAATCAACTTTCACTAGTTCATCTTGCATATGCCATTTCAATGCTATTTTAATTTTACCATTCAGTTTTCACACACCGACAAAGGTTGGCTGATGGAAGTATCTGGTGGGATTATGAGCTGTGATCAGTCCCTTTCACAATTCAGAACACAAGAAGCCCACGGGTTGAGGAGAGGCCTGGCTGGCCGAGTATCCTACTAATTTGCTGTATAGGAGTTTAGCTGATGCGCAGAGACAAAGAGAAAAGTTCTAGACTTGGTCTTTGCAACACAGAAACTCAATTTATCGTTGTAAAACACAAAAACCATTCCCACAGGGTATCCAGAATTAATTTTTATGAATGCTTTGCATTCCTCTAATGAAGAATGAAAACTCACTTAAACATAATACATCTTTGGTGAAGAAGATGCATCTTCCACACAACTTGTTTTTCCCTGGTTGCCATTCTATTTCACTTATTTTATATTTGAACAGATTAAAGCACTAGAAATGGTAACTAACTGAAGTGCTGCTTTGTTTGTAGCCTAAGATAGCACAAGGAAGTCATGTTTGGCAAGCTGAAACCAGAGCATATATGAACTATGAGCATTTTATAAAAAAGTGCTCTGCTGCGGCCACAAAGGCAGTTTCTGTTCCCAAAATACAGCTAACAACATGTGCACAGTACATAGCACAGCAGATACTACATCAATCAGGGGGAAATGACTTGCAGACTAATGTTGTGAAGGATAGTACCTGAATAACTTCTAAGTTGATACAGTCTGCGTTTGATTATGATAAAAATGGAATCCAGTTTGTGGTTTCATCAGAGACTAAAAGGGCTCACCAGGAACAGATACAAACAGTACAGAGATTTAATTAGCGTTATAAGTTTTACCTCTTCTGACTTCAGGTGTCCATATATGAGCTCCTTGTCTAGATTTCCTTTTTAGTTAACAAAGCTGAGATGAAAGTTATCTTCTCCCAAAGAAGTTGCCTACGCTCCAGACTCGCACAGTAAACTATGTTCTAACAGCCACATTTAGTCAGATGAATCCAAAACTTGCTGGAAATCAGGCCAAAAGACAACCACTATACACACAAAAATGACTCCAAATGAGTTATTAACATTTAGGAAAGCCACTGGCATCAGTCATTGCGGTAAGTTCTCTGCAAATACGACCTCAGTGCTAAGCGTCATGCAAAACAAACAATTTTTGAGAAGAGTAAAATAGAAGTTACTATTCTACTGTATGAATCCAGTGTCCTCTCACTTTAAAGATACTGTGCAATCCTCATCATTTCAAATACAATTTCGAATACAAGACTAATCTAGAGAAATCAGAGGAGAGCAACGAGGACAGTCAGAAGCACGGAATGGCTTCTCTAAATAGACTCTCGGTAAATTGGTTGGGGGCTATCAGAGAAGTCTATAAAGTCACTGATTGTGTAGAGCAGATGCAGGTTAAAACTGCTGTTTCTCAGAATAAAAACTACAAAGCACAATGTGAAATTATCAAGCATCAGGTTTAAACCAAATAAAAGGATGCACGTTTTCATACAAAATTGAACTCATACAGCACAACACCAAGAACGACAAAAGCTTAAAAAGGTTCACAATTAAAAGGATAAGTTAACAGAGGACAGACTCATCAGTAGTTTCTAGATATGACTCTTTGGATCCACGCTCATGATCCCAAACAACTGATAAATGAAAACTCATCAGAATAGATGGTTACATTGCAAAAATTGACCAAAATTTTTAAGTGCTGCACCCAAAGTATATGGATTTTTCCTTACTTTCTTCAGAAGAAGCTAAGCACTTCAGCATGCTACCTTTAAATTTCATCCACCTGAAAATCAGTTACCATAAAATAAGCATAATCTCTGCTGTATCAATTACTAAAAGAAGATGAAGACGTGTCAGGAGTCCCTTTTATTTTTAGAAGTTTCAGGCAACTTGCTCACCAAAAACAGAAAAACCTACAAATCAGAAATGTTTTGCCCCAGGCAATACCACAAAGGCATGAAAAGCCATCAAGTCAAACTGGAAAAGCTGACCTTGTCCAACTACACTGCAGTGACACACAGACACAGATGGATTCACCCTTCCTGTAAGAAACATTGCTAAAGTGTCCCCATCTTCAGAAACCTTCACATTTTTTCTCCTTAATTTCTACAGCAGCTGCTGTAAAGGCAATGTGCCATATATGCAGGGATGCGAGGAGGAAGGCCAAGGCCCATTTGGAATTAAATCTGGCAAGGGATGTCAAGGACAACAAGAAGGGCTGCTTCAAATACATCAGTAGCAAAAGGAAGACTAGGGAAAACGTGGGCCCACCGCTGAATGGGGCGGGTGCCCTGGTAACGAAGGCGCTAGAGAAGGCAGAGTTGCTGAATGCTGCCTTTGCTTCAGCCTTCACTGCTAAGGCCAGTCCTGGGGAATTCCAGACCCTGGGGACAAGAGAGAGAGCCTGGAGAAAGGAAGACTCTCCCTTGGTTGAGGAGGATCGGGTTAGAGATCTTTTGGGCAAACCTGACATACATAAATCCATGGGCCCTGATGGGATGCACCCCCGAGTGCCGAGGGAGCTGGCGGATGTTATCACTAGGCCACTCTCCATCATCTTGGAAAGGTC